TCTGGAGGGGATGCCAGGAGCTACACGGCCTTCCCGCCCACCCCAACAGGTGCTCCATGCCCGTCCCCTCTCCCTGCCGTGCCCTCGGGGCTGGGGCCAGGGCTCCCAGCCTGACATGGCCTTTGCTCTGCACACAGCTTTGTGGTCCAGACCATCCGGGCCCTGCTCTGCCGGCTGCAGTGGGACCAGGAGCTGGTGTCAGTGGAGCGCAAGCGTGGCTGGGACGCGCTCCTCTCTGCTGACACCCACCACTACGCGGTGGGGCTGCTGGCCAGGTGAGACAGCCTTGTCCCCGCTGCCCCCGGCACCTCTGCCCTGGGCACGGGGCAGCCCACACAGCCCCTGGGGGTGTGGGACAGAGGGCCTTGGCCCCAAGGGACGGCCCAGCCAGTGCTGGCAGAGCTTTGCCCACTAAACTCAGGGCCGAGGGTTCCCTTTTTGCCCTGACAGGGAGATGCGCCACGTGTTGCTCCCCTCCTATGGCCCGCTGGCAAGGCACTTGCTGGGGCTGCTCAGCACGGAGGGGCCCCGCTGGGAGCTGCCTGCCCTGGCCTTCCTTGTCGAGGTGAGCCCGATGGCCAGCGCTGCCTGGCCCCGCTGCCTCCCCCTCTCTGCCCTCTCACAGCCGCAGCTGCCCGGGACGGTGCCTGCGCCCTGTGCTGCTGCCTGGGCCCAGCCCTGGCCGGCTCCGCGCTCCTGCCGCCCGCCCACCCCGGCACTGCTCTCTGCCTTCCAGGTCCTCAACTATTTGGACGTGAGCGCAGGTGATGACAGTGTCCTGCAGATCCTGGCAAGGCACCTGCAGAGCCAGTGCCCAGAGAGGCGGCGCCTGGCTCTGCGAGGGTTCCTGGTGCTCAGCGGGGATCCCTCCATGGTGAGAAGGGGGCAGGGGATGAAGCCACACGGGCAGCCTGGGACTGGAGAGGGCAGTGGCTTGGCCTTGGCTGGGCTTCGGGAGCTGTGGCAGCTGCTCACAGATCTCCTGCCTCCCTCTCCAGCTGCCCAGGCCCTGTGGGACAGGCCTTTGGCCTCTGGGCCCCAGGGCAGCAGCGTAGACTTGCACTGCCAGAGTGGGGTTGGTGGGGCAGCTCTTCAGGGCTTCCCAGCACAACCTTCTGTTCCACCCAGGCCAAAAGCATCTGCAGCCTGTCTGAGCACCTCCTGGAGCTGCTGCGTGATGGAGACGGAGAGATGGTCGCCATGACCCTCTCCGTGTTCCGGAATGTGCTCCAGGATGGAGAGAACACTGACGGGTTCAGCTCCACTGCCCCGAGGCTGGTTGAGGCGCTCCGGCCAATCTTTGACAATGTAAGGCTCTGTGCCCCCAGCCACAGGCACTGGGTGCTGCCAGGAAACTCGGTGGAGTTTCAGGTCTGGGCCTGGAGGGCCTGGAGCAGGCAGTGCTGAGGTCTTTGTCTCTTCTTTGGCCCCAGGACAACAGCCACGTGCAGCTGCTCTCCATTCGCCTCTTCCGAGAGGTGATGGAGTTGCTGGCGGAAGAGGGAACAGAGCCCTGGGAGATGCAGGTGCGCCAGAGCCTGGTCCCACTGTTCTTCCGCTGGCACGATGAGAACCAGCGCGTGGCAGAGGTGAGCACTGCTGGGCTCTGGTGTCCCCGGGGCAGGGGCTGGGCTGCCTCCTGCCCTCGGGCCTCAAGGGCTCCAGCCTCCTGCTGCCCTTGGAGCAGGGACACAGGGGCTGTGCCCTGGGCTGCGGTGCCATGTCCCGCTCTCTGCTGCTCTGCAGGCCGCTCGGGAAGCGCTGCTCTGGGCTACAAGCTTCCTCAAGAGGAAGGACCTGGAGCAGCTGCTGAAGACACAGGAGCCCTTCAGATTCTGTGACTGCCTGGTAAGGATGAGTGCAAAGGCCCAGCCCCAGGCTGGAGAAGCCCCCAGTGCGCAGTGTGCCGGCTGGCCCTGTGCCCCTGCCCACTGCTGCAACCACAGACACCCCCCTGCTCTCTGCAGATGGAAAAGGACAGGAGCCGAAGGGGCGAGCACCTGCAGCAGGCCCTGCCCTACCTGCAGAGCCCACAGGAGCCCCTGCGAGAGGCGGCCGTCAGGTTCATGGGTGAGCCCCGAGGCCGCGGTCCCTCCCCGCCCCGCTGCAGCTCGGCCCCAGCCCCGGCTGCTGCAGCGGCAGCACGATGGGCCCAGGGATGTGCTGGGGAGCCCCGAGTGCCCTGGCGGCTGCTGCCGCCCTCTGCCAGCCCAGCCCCGGGGCCTCCCCATGCGGAGCCCCTGGGCCCTGACAGCCTCTGTGTTCCCAGGGGTCGCCGGCTGGCACATGAGGGAGTGGCAGCAAGACCTGTGGCCCATCCTCAAGGGTGAGTGAGGGCAGAGAGGCCTCCCTGGGGGCTGCCGGGGACCAGCACAGACCCTGGGCAGGGAGCTGCAATCCCTGCCCTGCCTGCACAGGGCTCTGCTCCCTGCACACCATGGCCAGAGCACACACACATGGCAGGGGCAGGGTGCCCATTGGTGCCCAGCACTTTCCCGCTCATCCTCTTGGCCCCTGCTCCCTCCTGGCTGTGCCAAGAGCTGCCTGGCATGGCCCTGGCAGGAGGGGCTCCTGGGGTCCCTGCACAGCCACGCTCTGACCCCAGCTCCCTTCCTCTCTCTTCCAGGCCTTACAGCCATGAGCGAGGACGACTGCCCCTCCGTCTCCAACGTCAGAGCTGCACTCGTGGACACTTACAGCCGTGCCATGAGACGACCAATGTCCCTGCAACAGCCCCGCAACAGCCCAGGGACCACTTCTCAGCGCGGCTGCACCTGCAGCTGATGTTGGACCCAACTGAGCCAGCCCGCAAGGCCAGGCAGCTCCTGGCCTCTGCAGCCCCAGGGGCGGCTGCCTCCTTCCATTCCCTTCTCCTGACCCCACTTCATCCTTCCCCTTGCCCTGATGTTAATAAACCCTGGCTTTCTCCCCTTATCTGTGTCTTGGTGCAACTGAAAGGGCACAAACCCTCAGCCCTGCAGCTCACGGGCCCGCTCCTGCCTCTCTTTTGCCCCCTGCACCGTGGGCACACACCCCCAGGGACACGGGCACTTCAGGCTGCAAAGGGGCCTGTCCTGAAGGGCCACTTGCACAACACTGTGCACTTCCAAGATCTTGCTTAAGGGTGTGCTCGTGTTCCCCAAGAAAACTATAGAGTTGGGTCATCCCTGGGGAGGCAAGGGATTTGCTTCTCTGGGAAACTGCTTCCCAAGGAGTTCTCGGGGAGGGAGGCACAAATGTCTCCCTCTGGCTCTTGGTGGTCCTTTCCCTCCTTGTGTCCCGTTGCACTTTGGAGAGGGAGAGGGCAAGGGGCACTCATCAGCCTGTGGGGCAAAGCCACGCTGGGGCAGCTCTCGAGACTGCAAGCACAGCTGGCACTGCGTGTGCCCTGAGAACAGAGCTCCTCTGCCAGCCTCTGACCCACTGACTTCCAGTGCAGATCCAAGAGACATGCTGGAATCAGGGATCACAGGGGTGGCTGTGGGAACATCTTGCAGCACAAGGATCCTTCTCTGAGGAACATCCAAGCACATCCCAGCCTGTTGCCTGCTGTGCTTTGCCTCGCTGGGTTTTGCAGTGATGCTCCCACGCTGCCCCATCTCCTGCCACTTCCCAGAGTTTTCCTTTCATTTTCACTTCCAGGTCCCACTTCCCAGCACCCAGGAGCCCCACTGGCTCTTTTTAGCCAAGGCTGCAGGAGGGACATGCTGCAGCCTTTCCCTCTGCCCAGGAGTGCTCCCATTCCCGCCAACAGCAGACAGCCCACAGCATGGAATCATGGAATCATTAACACTGGGAAAGACCTCAGAGACCATCAAGTTCAACTATTCCCCCAGCACTGCCAAGCCCACCACTCAGCTCTGGCCCCATATGCCACATCCGCATGTTTCTTGAACACTTCCAGGGATGATGAGTCCACCACTTCCCTGACACAATCACCACCTGCTGGAATCACCATCTGCTGCATTTCCACCACTTCCCCGGTGGAATCAGCATCACCCACTGCTGCTGCCCCACTGCCCCATTCACTCTGTCCTTGGGGACCAGCCCCTCAAAATCCCTGGAAGGCAGCTGGCACTGGACACACATCACGGAGCCACCCCTGAGACAGCTCAAGGGATGTCACCTACCTGGTGTCCTGAGCATCCAGGTGACACGCTCATCCCTCCACCACGGCTGCCAGGAAAGCGCCCCGGGTCGAGCTCTCCCTGTGGTCGGTGGCTTGGCTGCAGGGCTGGAAAACCTGGGGATGCCAAACCCATCGCTGGTGGGTCTGTGCCAGCCCGGCGCTGGGATCCCTGAGCCGGGGATACCTCCTGGTATCCAGGGTGTCCGCCCTGAGCCGGGATCTCTGATCAGCGGGGTCCCTGCTGGGATCCCGGAGCACTCCCTGCACCCGCAGGGATGGAACAGGGATGGACACCCCCAGAGTACCACAGACCCGACCTGCAGTGGGGGATGTCCCCGCACCGCCCTCAGCCCGCGGGAGTGTCCAGATCCCCCCAGACAGCTCCGGGAGCACCTCGGCGATGCCCGCACCGCGCCCCTCACCCCTTCGTCCTCTCTCCGCTCCTCGATCCCCTCACGGCTCCTCCCACCCCTCACCGCCCCTCTCCCCCTTCCCCGCCAGTCTTCCCCCACCGCCCCCCTCTCTCCCCTCACCGCCCCACTCACCACTCTCACCCCTCTCTCCTCCCGCCGCCCCTCCGGGAGGGCGGGATCGATCGCGGGCGGGCGTCACCAACCCAAGAAGCAAAGCGGCGGCCCCGCGGGGGCGGCCCGCGGGTGATTGACGGGCGGAGCCGACCAACCGGCGCGGCGGGCGGGCGCGGCGGGGGGCGTGCCCGGCGGGCGGCCAATGGGGAGCGCGCGCCGCCGCCCCTCAAATCAGCGGGCTCAGCCGGGTGTCCCCGGCAGAGAGTTGTTTGGCGGCGGGCGGGCGGGCGGCGCAGCCGGGCGGGCGGGAGGAGAAGGAGGAGCAGGAGGAGTGCGGGGGGGGCTCCCCTTTGTTCATGGGGGTGTCCAGCCGGGGCTGAGGGAAGGCACGGAGGGGGTCGGTGCCTCCCGCTGCCCCATGGCCGTCGCTGAGGGGGCGGCCGTGCCCTACGCCGTGGAGCTGGGGCTCACCGTGCTCCACACGGCGCTCTACGGCGCGCTCTTCCTCTTCGCCTACCTGCAGCTCTGGCTGCTGCTCTGCTACCGCGAGCGGCGGCTGAGCTACCACACGCTCTGCCTCTTCCTCTGCCTGCTCTGGGCAGCCCTCAGGACCACGCTGTTCTCCTTCTACCTGCAGAATTCCCTGCAGGCCCTCCGCCTCCAGCAGCCCTTCGCCCACTGGCTCCTGTACTGCCTGCCCGGCTGCCTCCTCTTCTCCAGCCTCTGCCTCCTCAACCTCTACTTCGCCGAGGTAAGTTTTGCTTTGGGGAAGAAAAGCCTCCCTCGCTAACCCCCGTCCCGCAGGACACCGGGGTTGGAACCTCCTCTTCAGCCACCTCTCCAAAGTTGGAGTGCCCCGGAGCCAAGGCTTTGGAGTGGGATGGAGCGGGGGGTGGGATGGAGGTGCGACTGTCCAGGTGAGGGTGGGAGGGAATGCCGGGGGTCTGCGCTCAGTGTTAGCTTTGGGAAAGGCTGGGGGGATGCAGGGATGTGCCCTGAATCCAGGCTTGGGGGGATGCAGGGATGTGCCCTGAATCCAGGCGTGGGGGGAGGCACAGGGACTGTGCCCTGAATGCAACCCTCAGTATAGACTTCGGTACAGGCTGGGAGGATGCAGGAATTGTGCCCTGAATCCAGCCTTAGGGGGGATGGGGGGTGGGATTTGGGGGGGATGGTGTGAGCAAAAAGCGTGCCCTGAATCCCAGCATCAGGGGGTTGGGGTGTAGGGCTGTGCCCTCAAGGCAGACCCCGGGGTGGGGGGGAAACAGCCTCATGCCCTGAATTTGGGATTTGAGGGGTGCAGGGGCATGCCCTGCTCCCCAGGTGGGATTTTCCTCTTTGCAACCCAGAGTCATTGCAGGGGGGGATCACTTTGCGGGGGACTGTTTTGCATCTTTTTTTAATTGATTCCCGTTCTCCGAAGGGGACCAGAAAGTGGCAGCAGCAGGGGCTGCTCTGGCCTGGAGTGATGCCAACCATTACGTCACCAGCCAGAGCCTCTTCTGCTATTGTTGCTGCGCTCCCTCCTTCTCTCCATCGCTCCGCTGCGAACTGGGCTTGTTGTTCTGCAGCTTGTTGTCAGACAAAAAAATAAATAAACAACCAAAACCCTGAGATCCCTCAGGGGCAGGACAGGGGGGGCCCCTTCCCAGCTAAACCATTGCTGCTGGGACAGTGTGGAGCTGCTTGTTGTTATCACCGAATGTATCCCTCCTTTTCTGGGCTTCCCATCACTTGTGCCGTGATTTTTATCCTCCTTTCCCCGAGTCCACTTGTCTTTATCTCTCAAAGCCTCGTCTCTCCCCTCCCCTCCCCTCCCCTGAATATTTTGTTTCTGCTCCAGTTTCTCCCGAGCAGCCCTTTTTGCTCGCCTGCCCTCCCCAGTTTGGTGACTTGTTTCATAAATAGGCAGCACTTTTTTCCTTCCAGCTTTGTTGTTGTTGTGGGGATTCTTTGCTCTGCAGCTCTCAGCTGTTCTCCAGCCTCACAAAGGAATCGCTAACACACAGCGAAATCGCTCCGTCGCTCCGATGTGTCACCCAGGGGAGTTATGATTTCATTTTCCCGAGGACATCAGCGCTCACATGATAATGGAAGACTTGGAGCAATTGGGTTGTTCAGCTTTTTCAGTTCTTTTCCCCTTTTCCTTGCTCTGAAATAAACACTTGGGAGCCAGGGGTGAGCTGCCTGTTGCCAAAGGTGTCGGTGTTGGATGTGGCGTTGGTTGAGTGGCAGCAGGATAACAAATGGTGCAGAGTGTGCATAATCCATCTTGTCTGTTAGAGGCAGCCTGACCTACCAATTGCTCCAGCCAGGAGGGGTTTGTGTCCTTTGAAAAGCAGGGATCCTGTGCTCTGCTCCACAAAGTGGTTGCATTTCTGTTTTCCTCTCAGTCACTGGACTCAACAGCAGATTTGCCTCTCTCGGGCTTGTTTAAAGGTTCCCTTAAAGTAAATCCAAATAGATTCCCAGGCTTCCCTTCCTCCCACGATATCTGTTTTTCAGTGAACTCTGCGTATATCCCATTTCTTTCTCCTTCAAAACCTAGAGCCAAGGGAAATCCTGTCTGAGGAAATAAGAGCTCAGAATCTGGAGTGGGGAAGGATAAAGTGACTTAAGAAAGTGGGTCTGCATGCTCAGCTCCAGGGAGGGTCTGATACTTCCCTGTTGGAACCAGGAGGGGAGTCCAGCACTGTGTGGTGTTTTGGGGTGATCTCACAGTGGTGGTAGTGAAGCTCCAGAGGTTTGGAGAAAGAGTCGAGCTGGATGGACTGAAAGCCTTTGGTGCTTTCCTGGCTCCCATCTTTAGACATGACTGGTGTGTTTACTGGTGTGACTACCAGGAGAAAGTGCCCATCCATTCCCAGTTTTTATGGGCTAATTGGTAGCAATTAGAAGGACCAGCAGAAGGACCCTGGGCTTCTTCTGCTCTGGGGGTGGGATCCTGATCCGAGATGTCCTCGGATAAAAGCACAGGCTGCTGCTGTGCTGAGGGCCTGGCTCATTGTCTCTCTACACAGTGCCTCCTTTGTGGAGATGCTGGAGAAATGGCATCTGTGGAAGCAGTGGAAGAAAACATGGCCTGTGCTGTTATTTGAGCTGATCTTGCTTGATTTAGGGAGCTCCTCAGGCTATGGAGAAGCTGAGGATGAAATGGTGATGGGGAAGAAGATCCAGGGAACAGATACCCATGGAGAACTGGCATTACTTGGCACTCCAGGCTGTTTTGGGGCTGAAATTCAAAATTCTTATACTGCCTGGTGTTCTCCTTTCAGTGGGGAGGGGTTATCCTCTTCCTATCCCCTCCTGGCTCCTGAGATTCCTGAGGGGATGCAGAGTCCTGGCAGAATGAATGTGGAATGTATATTTTTTTTTTTTTTTCATAATCCCAGAATGGTTGGGACTGGGAGGAACCTTAAAGCTCATCTCATTCCAAACCTGTGCCATGGGCAGGGACACCTTCCACTGTCCCAGGTTGCTCCAACCTGGCCTTGAACACTTCCAGAGATGGGGCAGCCACAGCTTCTTTGGGTAACTTGTGCCAGGGCCTCACCACCCTCACAGCCAAGAATTTCTTCCCAGTATCCCATCTAACCCTGCCCTCTCTGTGTGAAGCCATTCCCTATCATCCTGTCACTCCATGCCCATGTCCAAAGTCCCTCTCCAGGTCTCCTGTAGGCTCCCTTCAGGTACTGTTTCCATCTGGAACATCACAATGCCTTTAGCTTGGGAGCATTTCTTCCTTTCTGCTTCAACTTGTACCAGAATGAGTCCTTTCCTGGAAATCTGGAATTCACAGTGCATCAAGTCAGAATTCCTCAGATCCACTCCCAGTCTTGCCTCAATGTCTCAGGTATCCAAACAAGATGCTCCTTTGCCTTGCCTTTGGAATAGCTCCTCTGCTGCCAGCTAGACATCAGCTTGAATAATGCCACCCTTCCCAAGAGCCTGCCAGTTCCTACTTTTCCCTGGGACATGGAAATACATGGAAGGAGCGGGGGGGGCTCAGCCTGGAGAAAAGGAGGCTCAGGGGGGACCTTCTGGCTCTGCAACTCCCTGATAGGAGGAGGGAGCTGGGGGAGGTTGGGCTCTGCTCGCAGGGAACAAGGGACAGGAGGAGAGGAAATGGCCTCAAGTTGTGTCAGGGGAGGTTCAGGTTGGACATCAGGAGGAATTTCTTCTTGGAAAGGGTTGTTAAACATTGGCAGGGGGTGCCCAGGGAGGTGGTGGAGTCCCCATCCCTGGAGGTGTCCAAGGAAGGACTGGCCGTGGCACTCAGTGCTCTGGGCTGGGGGACAGGGTGGGCATCGGGCACAGGGGGGACTCGATGATCTCAGAGGTCTTTTCTGACCTCAGGGATTCTGTGAAATGTAGCCACAACCTCCGTCTTGACCCTTTCAAAGGCCTTCTTGAGCACTCGGCTCTCCTGGGAATCAGCAGCTGGTGCAGGGATGAGTAAGGAATGCTGGAGTGGTGGGACTGACGGCCGGCGTGGCCAGAGCCCTCCAACAGTCTGGGTTTCTACTGAGTGCTCCATCTGATTAGATGACATCAGCCTCTTCCATCCCTTCCTGTTCTAATTGCACTGGAGCAGACATGCTTGGAAAGAGCATCCAGCCTTTCCAGGGAAATGCTTGTCTTTGCTGTCCTGTACCTTCCTTCTCAGCTGGAAAACTGGAAAAGCCTCCATCCTTTCTTGCACCTTCCTTGTGTAGCAGACACCTGGCAGTGCCCTCTGCCTCAGAGGGACAGCTGGTAAGGGGTCACTTAAACTCCAGATTGCCTCATCCCATAGCTGATGATTCCCATGTTTCCCAGCTGAACAGGTGTCCACACTGGCAACCAGCTATTCTAGGAAATCAGGGAACAAGCGAGTTGTGCCCTGTGTTCATGATGGCAGAGTGATCTCAGTATTAGTGGGGATGCTGAGAGATCCTCCTCATGGATAGTTCCAACTTTTCCTCTGAGGGGTGGGTGGGGGTTTGAACATTTGTTACGGGGTGTAATCCCAAAATAGTCTGGGCTGTGCTCCAATTATCTCACTCTGGTGAGGGAAGGGATCTGTCTGTGGATGCTCCTGCAGCTGAGTGAGGACTGTGTTAGGACAGGGCATGGTTATGTCTTGTATCTGTGGAGCCCAAATTCATGGTTTCTTTATGGAGCAAGAGAGATTTTGTTTCCATCAGACAATAAGTTCCTGGCTCTCCTGGATCTTTTGGATCTGATGTGAATGGCTGTACCAAAACCAAGCTGAAGTGGTTCAGTGTTTGGGGTTAAGATCCTGGCTTTTCAGGCACTGGAAATGATCCTTGGAGCAATCTGTGGGATCTGACATCTGTCACCTTCTCTTAGCAGCTGTGACACCTCCAGTGCACCTTCTAAGGATGAGTGTGTGTCTCAAACATATCCTTAGCAAGTTCACTTTCTGGGCTGTGCTGGGAGCAAGGGAATCACTTTTATGTAATATATCCACCCACCACAAAACCAAAAGCCTCCAGCATCATGGGGGCACTTTGGGGTGTGTAATTCTCCTCCCCTTCTTCCCAAATCTGGCTGATGTGAAGTGCTCAAAGGATCTGTGGCTCTGGAAAGGCAACTAAGTGTTGCCAAACTGCTCCTGATTTTCAGGCTTGACTTCTTGGGCTGGTCTCAGCTCAGATCCCAAGGAACTGTTCAGTTTGCAAGGATTGCTGCTCCCAGCTTGGCCTAAAGCACCTGTTTGAGGGCAGGGGGCTGTGTTTCCTCTCTTTCTGGAGAACAGGACTGCTCCTGAGCTCTCCATGCTGGATTCTTCACAGCAGAACCCTCTACCTCAGCTGTCCTTGGGCTCTGAAAGCAGCAGAGTCCTGTGCAGAGAGACTCAAAGCTTGTCTCAAGGCTGAGAACCCAGAGAAACACTGGTGTCACCTACTGACCCAGTCCCTGGGAAGGCAAAGCAGCCTTCAGATAAGTTATCAGTCTTAATAATTGAAAACACCAAACCCAGTGATGCCTGTCCTCTTCCTGAAGTTGTAGGAATAATTAGCTGGGGGCTAATAAAAGTCTAATGCTGGAGCTGTGGTCTCCCTCTGCTTTTCATGGCAGCAGGCCAAGCCTGAGGCTCAAGTTGCTGTTGCACTCTTAACCCTGACTCAGCTTTGTGTGCCTTAATCCCTGGAGCTGTAGGGGGAGAGTTTAGGGAGAGTCCTGCACATCCAGCATCTTCCTGTTAGCCAGTGGCACTTCCCTGCTCGGCTGAGGGGCTGTTCTCAGCTGAGAGTGCAGAATTCCCAGTTGGAATACAAGCCAGGGACTCTGCAGTGCTGTTCAGAGGCCGTGTTTACAGATACCTCAGATGGATTTCTGTGCTGCCCAAATGGGTGCTGGACCAAGAGATTTTCCCAGCTGGAAATGTCCTTGGTGTCTGTTTTGACAGGACAAGAGGAAACAGCCTCAAGTTGCACCAGGGGAGGTTTAGATTGGATATTGGGAAAAAATTCTTCACTGAAAGGGTGGTCAGGCATTGGAACAGGCTGTCCAGGGCAGTGGTGGAGTCACCATCCCTGGAAGAGTTCAAAAAAACGTGGATATGGCATTTGGCAACGTGGTTTAGTGGTGAACAAGGTGGTGCTGAATTAAATGGTTGCACTTGATGATTTTGGAGGGCTTTTCCAACCTTAGTGATCCTATGCCAGTCCAAAGTGCTTGAACATAACCTGCAGGCAAACTAAGGAGGATTGAAGGATATTTCTGTTTGAAAGTCACCACATGGTGCTTCCAAGGCAGAGGTTTAGTGTAACTCAGATGAGTTTTGGGGCTCAGGGTGGATTGTGCCACACTTCTATTCTTCTCTGGGCTGGTGTAGGCCAGGACAACAGGATAGAGAACATCCATAGGGATGGATCCCCATCTCTAGTGAAGAGCTGTGTCCTGTTCCCCACCAAGTGCTGCTTGAGCTCATCCCCCCTCAGACTGGGGGAGAGGAGCCAGGCACTGGCACTGGAACTGGCTCTTGGAAGAGGGTCACTGGCACCGTCTGATGCCCTTTGAAATGCTTGAAACTACTACAGGGGATCAGAGAACCTCAAATCCTGAAATGTCTCTGGAAATCCTCTTGGCAGGAGCCTGATTCCTGAAGCTTGTGTGCCACTTCTGCCTCAGTGCTGGCTGGAAGGCAGGAGCCAAGGAATCCCAGCAGGAAAAAAAGCTGACCAAGGGTGCCTTGTAGGAGATGAGTGATCCTTCACTGCAGCCACAGTCTGGGAGCTGACAGGGAAAGGCAGGAGAAGGGAAACTGAACCTCCACACCTGTGCAGTGATCCCACAAATACAGGTGTGCTGGATCTGTCTGGATGTTTCTCTTCCCAAGTTCCTTCCAAGTCTCTAGTCAGGACATGGGCTTTGCCTGTGACTGACCCCAGCTCTGGGATCCTTCCTGGTGGGATCTGTACCTGGAGCTGCATTTTTCACAGGACACAACCCTGTTGTTTTCCTGCTGTTTTCCTGACCAGTGTGAGCGCTGCTTCCCTGTCCCCTTGCAGCAGGAACTCACATCTGAGCTCTGTCTTGGGGGTGTCAACACCTTCCTAAGCCATCCCTAATTCCTTAGGCTCAGATCCTGCCCCTGTATGCTCCAAACTTCCACCTCTGGAGTTACTTTTCAGGTGAATTTGTCCTACAAACATCATAAGGATGGAGGAGCTGTGAGTTCCAAGTGCTTTTTCCAGCCTGCAGGTCCATGATCAAATAGACCAGAGGGCTATTTTAGATCAGCTATTTGTCTTGCTGAAGCACAGCAGCTCAGGCAGCCTTTTCTAACATAGAAATCCAGTGTGGTTGAGGTCCTAAAATAAGCAGCCCAGAACACTGGGCAAAGGAGATGTATTTTTGAAGGATTTTAATGATTATTAAGTGCTAAATTCCCTGCTTTTCTTGAGATCTTTAAGGTGGAGTGTTAAAGTCCTTGTCACATATGGGGTATTATGGGCACCTATATTTGGGCTGGGCTTTTACAAGGGGGGAAAAAAAGACCAGTTCTTGGTGCTGATAAATAATCTGGAGTCCTTGGAGGTGTCCAACTGGTTTCTGGCTCTCTTGTTTATCTCGACTAAGCTTAAAAGAAACTGTAGATCATGTGAAGTAACACTGTGCAACTCTTTCCTCCAGGTCATATTCAAAGTGAAATGTGCAGCTGAATTCAACAAGTACAAGTAAGTGATGCTGTTCTGACCTTCGTGGCTTAAGGGGGAACTCACTGCAGTGCTGGGAGTGGGAGGTTCAGACCCCAAAGGCTGAACAGAGCTGATTCCATCCCTGTGCTCTGGCAAAGGGTCAGTGTTGTGCCTTGGAGCAGGACTGGGAGGTTCAAGGGTGCCCAGGAAGCTCAAGCACCCCAGTAACAAACTAGATAAACTCTCAAGGTCATTCCAAGCTGTCCCACCCCAGAAAAGATCTGCAGAATAAGGCACGAGCAGTAGGTGAGACCTACATTTGTGCAGCCCAGGTGCTTCCTAACCATTTCCAGGGAAACCCACACTGGGAAATGCGAGCTCCAGTGGCTTTCAGTGAAGAAGTTGCAGTGGTTGTGATGACTCATGGCTTATTGACTGGAGTTAATGCAGAGCTGGAGCAACACTTAAAATCTGCAAGATAAGAACCTGACTGTCAGAAGATGAGTCTTTGTAACTCATGACTGCTTACGCTGCTCATGTGTTCTGAGAGCAGCTCCAACAAACGCTCTGCAGGCTTGGGCTGCCAATGCAACCACTGAAAGTTGCTGGAATGCCTGCTCTTCCCAGCAGGCAGAGCACTGGGCGTGCTGGGAGGGTCTGGTGAGACAGGAGGGTGGTGCAGAATAAGCCTCCGTTTCTCCCCCTCACCATCCCTCCAGGGTCCTGCTGTACCTGGGCTCCATCTTCACCAGCCTCCTCTTCCTGGTTGTGAATTTGACTTGTGCAATGTTGATCCACGGGGAGGTCCCCGAGAACCAGCTGAGGTGGACGGTCCTGGCCCGTGCCCTGGTCAACGACAGCCTCTTCATCCTCTGTGCCATCTCGCTGGCTGGCTGCATGTGCAAGCTGGGAAAGATGTCTTCAGCCAACGTCTACCTCGAGTCCAAGGTAGGGGAATGCCCTGGGAGCTTCCCCTGGGACTGCACAGCTGGATTCTCAGCTGGACCTGGGTGTGCTCGCTCAGGGCATGGGGACACCTGAGCTGCTCTTGCTCAAATATTCCTTCCAGAGAGGAGGTGGCAGCTCTTGGACTCCTCCCTCCAGAAAGTGCATGTTCCTGCCGTGGGAATGATCTGCCCTGTGTGTTTTAGGGGAACACCTTGTCTGCAGCTTTGGGAGATTTATGAGCTGCCCGTGCTCTTCAGGCTTAGGAAATGTAGGGTCTGCCTGGATGAGAGGGTTCTCCAAGAGCAGCAGATGCAGTTTTGGCAGTGTATTATCACTAAGGACAGTAAAACTTGCAGCATGTTGTTACCTGTGGCAGGTGCACAACAATTCTTTGCAAAGGGGATCCCCTCCCAACAGTCCTGGATGAGATGAGCATGTTGGAAGGGGAGGAGAAGTTGCTGTAGGTCCTGCCCCAAGGCAGAAGGACAGGTCTGAACACACACAGCCCTTTTCCAGCAGGTAGGAGAGTGGATGAGCTGCCAGCAGTGTGGCAGCAGGCTGAATTAAATGTGCACTTGAGCTGCCTCCTCTTCCTCTGGGAAGCCATATCACCCCTGTCAAAGGCAGGGATTCCAGGAATCTATAGCAAAAATCTGAGCATAGCCTGGTCAAGGTTGAAGCTGAGGCTTTCAGTAAGAGATGTCTGGCTCCTTAAGCAGCCAAGAGTATTGCTGGTTTCCCAGAATCCAGGACGTGTGAACCATAGGTCGCAGCTGCAGTGAGACAGGAGCCATCTAAGCTGAGAACCTGCTCACATCCCTGCCTGCCTGGGCCTGGTATCCAGCTCTGACTGGCTCTGGGCACTGATTAACTTGCCAAGTTCACCCAGCCCAGGAACTTCCTCTCCTTCCATGCCTGAGGCTGCCTGTGGGGCCGTGCTCTTGTACAACATGCTCCAGGGAAGCCTGTTCTCCAGTTGGATACTCAACCTGGCTGCTACAGGTCTCCACTTCCCTTCCCTGCCTTGGGGGCATCCCTTGATTTCCTGTGTGAAGGAGCTGCAGGAAAAGGGTGGGGATGAGCACAAGTGCTGCACAAATACCTGGAAAGGTTGTCCTGCCTCCTGAACTCCAGCTGGGAACCTGCTGACTCAAAGCCATCCAGCAAGGCTGGAGGCTGCTGCCTCCACCACTGAAGGTGAAAGGCTGGAGCCATGGGAAGGAGCTGGACTGCAGCCAGATCCTGTGCTGTGGTCCTTGTGAGCTGGAGATTTGCTTCACCAGCCTTTCGTTGTGCTGGCCTGGACACCAAGGGCTCAGCTAAGGGTGACAGCAGGATGTGTTCCTGGGCTTTGGGGCTGTCACTTTGTTAGCAGCACTTCTGTGCTGACTCCTTCAAGCTGCTGCCTTGAGCTCCAAAGCTGGGAAAATAGAGCTGGCACAGCCCAGCTGGGATGTGGAGCAGGTCAGTGAGATGAGCCTCCCCTGCAGATTCTCTGCTTAAACACAAAGGCAAGTGAGCTGCTGGCACGTGTTTATGTGCCCACCCACTGACTTGGTGCCTCCCAGTAGCTATTAAAGGGCTTCATGGGTGTATTTAGCAAAGCCTGGCTTGTCATAAAATCCCAGAATGGTTTGGGTTGGAAGGGACCTTAAAGATCATCCAGTTCTACCCCCCTGCCATGGGCAGGGACACCTTCCACTATCCCAGGTTATTCCAAGCCCTGTCCAACCTGGCCTTGGACACTTCCAGGGATCCAGGAACAGCCACAGCTTCTCTGGGCAACCTGTACCAGGGCCTCACCACCCTCACAGGGAAGAATTCCTTCCTAATAGCTAATCTAATCCTGTTCTCTGTCAGTGGGAAGCCATTCCCCCTCATCCTGTCACTCCAGACCCTTGTAAGTCGTCTCTCTCCATGTTTCCTGTGGGCTCCCTTCAGTTCCAGGAGTTCAGGCACTGGGTCCTTCTGCCCGCCCCAAATACTTGGGTTTCTTTCCTAAACAAACACTGTGTGTGATGTTGGGGTGCTGAGCTGCTGCAGTGAATGGGCTGGGTGAACATTGCTGCTGCAGAGTCTGATCAGGGCATAGAAGCAGGCAGTTGATTTTCCCAGTGGTTTGTTTGCTGGCCTTGCGGAGACTCCCATGGGAAGGCAGCGAGTGGAGTAGCATCTCCCTGGACCACCAGCTGGAAGGTGACTGATAAGATCCTGACAGTGACACTTCTGTGCCTCAGATCTTCCCTGCTCCCAGGTGACACTGGCTGTGTGGATCTGTTCCTGGAATGAACTCATCACATGAGAAAGCTCTTAACCAGCTCTGAATATTTCAGCAACAACATACAAATGTTCTGGGTTGTTCTTGCCTGCACAGCTTCTGGTGAATTTAAGTGAAGGGGGAAAGAAAATCACAGCTCTATATTAAAGCCATTTTATTTCTTCCTATTCTAGGGAACATCTGTCTGCCAGGCTGTTCTTGTGGGATCTGTAGTGGCTCTTCTGTATTCCTCAAGGGCCTGCTATAACCTGGTAGCTGTGGCCATATCTCCAGACAATGTTCCTGGTCCTTTTAACTATGGCTGGGACAACCTTTCAGACAAGGTGAGTGTCTGTGACCCCCAGTCCAGAGCCAGTAAAGGGAAAGGCAGTCAGTCCTCGTCCTGGGAGGGTGAAAAGGGGCTGGGGGGGTGTCTGGGGACCTGAACCCCCAGAGGAGCTGGATTTCTGCCTCCAGAAGCCCTGCTTGCTCTCTCCACCCAGCAAACCTGAGTCTTCCCCTTTCCAGGAAGGATTCCCCTGTTGTGCTCTTCCCTTTTAGCCTGGCAACTCTTCTTTTGAGGGAGAGGAGGGACAAGTCAACTAGAGCAGAAAAGCAATGCTTAATCAGGCGTGGCTGTGTGAGAGGGAGAGTCACTGGGAGCGAGCTCCCAGTGCCCTGGTGGCACATGACCAGAACCAGCCCAGCAAAACCAGTAGCAGGAGCCAGGTGAGGGGCACTGCGCTGGCTTAGGGACTCCTGCCTTCGGAAGGGTTTCTCTGCATTCCCAGTTCCAGCTTTTGGGAGCTCTGTGGATGGCTGGGATCAAATCAGACCCCTCTGGTTTGTGTTCCACAGGTGCACGTGGAAGTGAGCAGCGAGGAGTACGTGGTGTTTGGAGTGGTCCTTTTCCTCTGGGAGCTGGTGCCAACGACTTTCGTGGTGCTGTTCTTCCGGGCTCAGAGGCTGAGCCAGAACCTGGTAGGGCCTGAGCAAGTTACCCCTGTGCAGGGAGGAGCCCCAGGGCACCTGGGAGGACTGTCAGGTGTGTTTTTACTTCTGGCCTAACTCCTTTGTCGTTGGCAGACTCCAGCAGGGATGGTGAACAGCCACAGTTACAGCTCCAGAGCCTATTTCTTTGACAATCCGAGGCGCTACGACAGCGACGACGACCTGTCACGGCTCGGGGCCAGAGAAGGAGGGTGAGTGTTGTGCTGCCATCCTGCTGCCCTGTGGGGAAGGACAGAGCTCCTGGCTTGAAGTCTGAGGGGAAAAAATCAGTGGAAGAGGCAGCTTGGAAAAGGTGCATGGGATAGAGAGCCTTCTGACTGAGGTTTTGTTCCTTCTGCAGCTCGCAAGGAGCTGTTTTTATTAGACAGAAGTGACCACAGAGGTGGATGTAGATGGTGCCCACAGGTAGAAATACGTAGTGATTACAGATAGAGCTTATCCAGGAGGACTGGTCTTTCTAGGATCCTCCCTCAGCTGTGGGCAGAGGGCTCTGAAATGATCTCCAGGGGGGTTTCTCCGCTGGAAAGCGAGAGGTGGGGAAGTCCTGGGAGGGGAGATGATCTCTGGGAGCCAACTGGCACAAAGCCCTGCAGGAATCCCTGGTGTGGGGGAGAACAGTCAGGTAACCGCAGCAAAACCGTACAGGGAAACCTGGCACCCCTGTCATCATGGAATCACAGACTGGTTTGGGTTGGAAGGGACCTTAAAAACCGTCCCGTTCCACCATGGCAGGGACGCCTTCCACTAGACCAGGTTGCTCCAAACTCCATCCAGCCTAGCCTGGAACATTTCACTTCCTTTCCGCTTCATTTCTAAATCCTTCACTTGCTGGGGGGAGTTCAGAGGTTCTGACTCTTGAGCAGTGATGTAGGGCCCGGTGCTCTTCTCCTTGTACTTTTTCATCAAAGTCGGGCTCCTTGGAGATATTATACCTACAGATTTGGATACCCTGATCAGTGCTGGGAGTCTCCTAGCACTGGAGGAGCCAAATTACTCATCTCTAAGAGAGTCCACGTGTGTGTTTTCTGTCTCCCCTCCAGCTTGGCCACCCCTCAGTGCTCAGGCTTCTACGGCTCCCTGGCCGGGAACGACAGCGGGACCCCCGCGGACAGCGCGCCCTTGCTCTGCGCCGCCGGCGGCTCGGAGAGCAACCACCACAGCTCATACCCCGCCCCACAGAACTGAGGAGGCTCCCTCCATTCCCAGAGTGGCATTCATGTATAGGATTGTAACCTGGTTTTCTCTTTTCCTCCTCCTCCTCCTCCCCTGAAGCATCTAACTCATGACACAAACATTCCACGACCTGCCGCAGCTGCGCGCGGGACTGAGCCGAAGGCTGCGGGCAGTAAGTAAGAGAACTGTGACTTTAAGGTACCATGTAGCAAAGTGAAGCTGAACTCTCTGGAAGCTTTTTCTTGGTCTGGTCTTCAAGATGTTGGCAGCTAAATGCACCAGAGCTTCCTCACTAGAAAAGAAACATCAAATGCGTATTTGCACTTTTATCTGCACACTTGGAAGGAACGAATCTTGCTCAGGCTCTGCTTGGTCTGAGACTGTTCTAGTTACTCTTTTAATTGCACATCCATAGCTGGGAGAGGCACTGTCTTCCTGCAAAGGCGTGTTCCGTGAAGTACTCTGCATCCTGACTCGCTGGGAGCGGGAGCTCTGTCCGGGCAGGGCCTCCTGTGCTGGATGCTCGAGCTTTCTGTGCCATATTCCCACCTGGCAGGGCTGGGTGAGGCCTCGGGGCTGAGGGGGGTCTTGCTCTGACTCCTGATCCTCGTCCCACATGGCTGCTGACCTGTCCCTCCTGGGCCTGTGGCTCAGAGCTGAGGGGGAGGTCTGTTCCTACTGGCATTGTGACCAACCTGATGACAGAGGGAGAGGGCTGGCTTTTCCCTTCAGGGAGAGCTTGGAGCTGGCTCAGCAGGAGTGTGTGTGCAGGAATGTGTGTGAATCCAGGGCTGCTGGACCCCGGGGGTGCTGAGAGCAGCCCTGCTCCCCCCTCCTCGTCACCCACGGTGGGGTCCCCTCGTCCCCCTCAGTATTAAATTGCATTTAGCAGATAACCAAGAGGTTTAACCTGAAGTGAATGTGAACTGGTGGGTCCCCACTGATGTGCAGGAGGTGTCTGGCTGCCTGTGGAGCGTGCTGTTGCAGAGGGAAGGGGCAGAAATCACAGGGATCTGATCCCTGGGCTCCTTGCTCTGCCCTCCAGGGCCTGGAGCCCTCCCACTGGAGTACACAGGGTGTGAGTGCTGGGTCAGGCTGGGAGAGGCTCCCCTGTCTCTCCTTAACCAAAGTAGCCAAGTTGGATCCCGGCCTGGGCTCTTGGAGATGAGGCTTGGTGTCATTCGTGGCTTGTCCCTGAGCCTGCTGTGGGGATGAGCGAAGCAGCTTTGGATGGAGGCCCTGCTCCAGTGGGAGCTGCTCTGGCCACTGGTGCCAACCCACACTGGAACTGCTTTTAACCTGCCTTGTGCTGCTCAAACCCCAGGCTGACCCTGGGCAGGGAGTGCTGTGGTGGGACAATGTTCTGGGAGCTGGGGGGACCCTGAGGCAGCCTCTGTGTCTGAGCTGTGTGTGAGGGAACCCCCAGCCCTGGGGCAGCCCCGGCCTCTCCTCACCAGCATGGCCTGGTCACCCCTCACCTCTTGCTTGTGCTGGGCTCGATGTCACTTGTCCCACCCAGTCCCTGTGCGTGGTCTGTGCTGGCCCCTTCCTTGCTCACCTGCTTCACTCTCCCTGGCCCAAAAAGAGCAGCAAGCCCTGCTTCTTTTTGGAGAAGGCAAAGATGGCAACTCTCAGCACATCCCTCGCTCGAGTACCCGACCCAGAGCTCCACCCTGGCTGCTCACCTGTCTCCTGGCAGGAACAGGTCGCTCCATCTCAATCACTGCTTGGCTTATGGCAAAGCTGATGAAGGGCCCAGTGTGTCCCCCTTCCTTCTGCTCCCATAAGTCACCAAAGACAGTAAGTGACGCTCGTGGCCCCTGTTCTTGCTTAAATTCCAAAGCACTAGGAGCACTTTAAGTTTTTCTTTGGAGGGAAAGGAGTGTAGTGCAAAAAAAAAATTAAAAAAAAAAAAAGAAAAAATAGTTAAAAAAAATACAAAATCCAAGGGCTACAGGCTCATTGTTCCTATTGCACTGAAGCACACACCCACACTACGATCTTCCTGGATTTGGGATGGCAGGTCAGGGCAGTGAGTCTCGTTGCTGATGGACCCCTGAGCGACTGGCAAAGCGTTTGGGTTTTACTCCTTTGTCCGGTGGTTTCCGATCCGGCCGCTCCTCCCGGGGCCGGTCCCGTGTTTTACTGAAGTAATTTATAGCTGAGAAGTACAATGACTTTTTTAATGCATAGTTGCCTTTCATTAAACTTTCTTTTTTGGGTTTGTTTTGTTTTTTTTTTTTTTTTTTTTTTGGTATGGTTTAACAGTGTTTTGGCTTTGCAGTTGGGCAGCAGCTGCTGCGCCAGGAGCTGTGGCCAATGAATGTACCTATTTGTTCTTCACTAAACTGTAACCAAGCACTACTCTGTTGAAATAAATAAAAAAAAAAAAAAAAAAAGGACTTTCTATGCTGAGATTGCTCCCAGGGTGACCCATCCAGCTCCAGGCGTGGCCCTGTGGTGCCCTGTGCCCTACCAGGACCTGGCACATCCAACTGCTCTCCTGAGACAGGGCTGGGAGCTCGTAAAGCTGCCGCTGGATGGGCTCCGAGGGATGAGTTTGGGGTGTCACAAGGGGCCTTATCCTCTGATGTTTCTCTGGCTGCAGCCCAAAGGGATGCTGTGTCCCAAGGGAATGGCATGAAGCTGTGCCAGGGGAGGTTGAGGCTGGATATTAGGAAAAGGTTCTTCACCCAGAGCGTAGTCGGGCACTGAACAGGCTCCCCAAGGCTGCCAGAGTTCCAGGAGGCTTTGGGCAACACTCTTAGGGACAAGGTGGGAGTGTTGGGGTGTCCTGTGCAGGGCCAGGAGTTGGATCAATGATCCTTGTGGATCCCTTCCAACTCAGGGAATTCTATATTCCCTGTGTCTCCAGCTCGTGAGGTACAACATGCTCAAATCACCTCCCAGGGCCATTCAGGAGACACATCCGGCCATGGGCTGTGCTTTGTCCTTTCCCAGGACCTGCATCCTCCCAGCCCCAGCGGGATGGAGCTGTGGAGGAGCTGAAACCCCCAGCTTCCTCCTTGGAGCTTCCCTTATTCCCTGCACAGGTTTATCTGTGTGGCCTTGAGCTCAGGGCAAACAGCAGTGGCTCTGCTGGAGCACACGCTGCCTCCTCCTGTCCTTCCAGCCTTTTGGGAGCTCAGGATGGAAAACATGGGGCTGCCACACAGATCCAGGCTGGGGGGATCTATTTTCCAGCAGCACTGCCCCCCCCTCCAAGCCTGTCCTTTGCCCCTGTTGCAGCACTGGATGGTGTAATCTGGGCTGGCTCCATCCCTGTGGGACCCAGCTGGAAGCAGGAACAGGGAGTCACCCCTTATGGCTGCAGGGGATCCAAGGGCTGTGCCCTCCCCAGGAGGGACCCTCTGCCCTGTCCCAGCAGCCCTGTCCCACTGCTTGTCCTTGGAGCAGCAGAATTCCCTGTGCCTCATTCTGTGCCATCTCCGAGGAGCAGCAGCCCCAGGGCGGGCACGTCCTTTCCCGTTTTAGCCCTGCCCGGATACCATCCCCCAGGGAGCAGATCCCAAAAGAGGCCAAACCCACTTGCACAAGCTGGGAGGGGCAAGAAGGCCAGGAACTGGGGTCCTGGCAGCAGCTGCTGCCCCGTGGACTGTTGGATACAGCTGATGGTGGGCTCTCCTTTTCCTGAACGAGGAGGGGGAGCCTCCAGGTGCCGAAAGCCATTAGTGGGGTTCCTCCAGGGTGATCCTTCTTGGTTCATCTTCCCAAGCCTTCAGTGGGGGCAGCAAGGACCATCAGGAAAAGGAAGTCACCTTGGGACACCAGCAGCTCCTACAATCCCTTGAAGTGATTTTTTTTTTTTTTATGCAGCAGGAAGTTAGTGTGGACACACTGGAAGCGAGGGGCTGGTTGGAATCACGGAGCAGACAAGGAATTTCCCCCCAAATTTATTCAATGGCACGGTTCTTGCCCCGCCTCCAGCTTCTGAAAGCAAAGCAATATGGGTCTGATCCATCCAAATAGCACAGCAACATTTCGAGGAGTTATTCCAAATGATCTTCCAATATATAAAATACAATTTACAGACGGTCCCCAACTTTTATACAAAAAAAAAAAAAAAATAGCTTTTTTTTTTTTTTTCCCCTTGTACAAAATCCCTCATCAGCAGGTTACAGACAATCAGCTGGGAACAGGAGGCCCAGCAAGTGGTTTTCATGGTGTAAGTTGGAGTGTGATGCAACAATGGTGTTTGTCCATAAGTCTCTCTCTCTCTCCGTGGAATTCACCGCATGTTTTGCAAGATATTCCTGAAGTTTTCCAGTTCTTTCACGCTGGTTGAAACCCTGTGTGCAAAGAAAGCAAAAGGGAAACGTTACAGCAACATTCACATGATGAATTATTTAATATCTGAGAGAAAGGGGCTGCAACAAGCAAGGCTTCAAGCAGCTTCTCGGGAAGAGAGAATTTAGAATTCCAGCTAAATTAGGTTCTGGTTCCAACCAGGCCCTTCACTAATTTCACAGCCGCTTTTTAAAGCAAACACTGGGAATCCCAGTGGAACAGGATGTTACAGCAGTGATCAAGCACATTAAGGACAGGTCAAGAAACAGACTGGAATATTCCAAGCTGCACAGGCAGGTCCTGGATTCTCCTGGCAATATTGTTTGCCAGAAACTCCAGGTCTGTCAACACCACAAAGTGCTAATGTACAACCAGAGCATCCTGAAATCCCCTCGTAAAGGCCTCGTTATCCTCCTTTTCTGCCAAAAACTCCTCATCCAGCTCTCCACAGGGGCTGGACTGATGGATTCCTGTTAAATGCAGTCATGGCAAATGGATCTGGGAATGAACTGGTGGAAGGAGAGCTCTGAGGAGAGCAGCCCTTGTCTGGGACGACGTGCTCTGAGGACAGTCACACAGTTCCTTAAAAAATCACCAAATTCTTTGTATCTTAACACAAATGCTTCCTTGAATTCCTCACAGAAAAATAGAGTATAAAGTTGTTTGAAATTTTTCCAACTGCTGCAGTCCATATGAACAACATCTGGTATCTGAGACAGCATGATAAAAGCAAGAGTCACCCCCAAAATTGCTGAGAAGAACTGACTGTTAGAGCTGAAATGGGATGTAACACTGCAGTCTGTGTAAAAGTAGAGGGAAAAGCCTCAAACTCACCTTCCAAAGGCATTAAATAAGGCCACAATTTCCTGTCTGGTCAGCTGGAATCCATAGGAAGGGCCGCTCTCAGGCATCTTTTCAATGAGGTTCTCAGAGAAGAGGATCTTCAGGGCTGTTCCCAAGCCCTGTGTCTGTGCAGGGATCAAACAGGATCATTTAACAGCAGGGAGACACCCAGGGCCTGATTCAAGTTTAGTTCTCCATCTCTGCAACATCATCTTAACAGGGTAAGAGGATTTTACTCAACCCAGAGGCTCTGCACCCCCTCCCCTCTCCTGGGGAGTGGCAGGTTATCCCAGTTTCCAGCTGCAAAGGCCACAGGCAGCTGGACAGGTAAGGAATCAAGCAGCCCTGAGCTGTATCTGGGTATCCAAGAACCACCTCCACACATGAGTCCCATCACCAGGAGCTTCCAGACACGCTGGTGACAGATCTTACCTGCAACTTCCCCCACAGCCGACATTTGAAGCAGCCAACACAGTCCATGATCTTGGAAATATTCTTGAAGTGCAGCCTAAATTCCTCCTGGGGGAAAAGACATCCACGTTGATCATGGTTATGCCCTAATCCCTGCATTAATCCCAATTAATCCTGGACTTCAGAGTTAGGGGAAAAGCTTCCTGAAAGCAGCAATTACCTTTAGTTTAGCAGCTTCCTTTTTGTTCCCCGCAAAGAAGGAGTTTTCATCGAAATGCAGCGGGAAAGACCTGGGAGGGAATGAAAGAGAGTTTTATTTCTCCCCAGAATGTTTGGATGGCTGAAGTCCTGGTCAGGTGTGTGGATAAAACAGAGCTGTGAGCCACTGGACATTCTAATCTTGGACCCAACCCCAAAGGGGGTTGGAACGAGATGATCTTCGAGGTCCCTTCCAACCCAAACCATCCTGGGATTCTACTACCTCTTTCAATCTGAGCTGGCATCTCACCTTGGAGACATTTCCAGCAATTGCTCAATGGTTTTGAAGCAATTTCAGCCTGTTTTCCAACAGACACAAGCACAGGAGCATGACCAGATAAATTCAAACATTGATCACAACAGGAGACACCCCATTTCTGCCTGGTTCTGGTATCTCCCATTCCTCTTACTCCAAATTCCATCCAATAGCCCAAACCTCTGTTACCAACACATTTAGGATGTTTTTGTAGTCAAAAAGCCAGGACTGGTATCCCACAGATGAGTCACACAGGTGGCCAATTTTAGGTCTGGCACATAGGCAGTGATTAAATTCAATTCTGCTCAATCCAAAATGCACCCAAGACTATTAAACCCTGGGACCAATTAAACTGTAGGACTAATCACCCAAATCTTGCTATTTGCATACAGATATTAATGTTCTCCCACCAAAACTACACTACTGGTACAATGTCCCTGCTCCTTACAGGGAGGTTGGACTTAGATGACCTTTAAAAGGTCCCTTCCAACCCAAACCATTCCATGATTCTATGATCCCACTGCACAAATCACTCCAGGAAGGAACCCAAAACCTGCTTTTCTAGGAGCTTTATGTGACAATCACACTCAGACATCCCAGGGTTTCCAGAGCCACTGTCCCCAGGTCCCAAGTGTAATTACTTGGCCAGGTGGAGAATTTCCAGCAACAGGTCTTTCATTTCCACATCCTGGCTTTCATTCCCCGTGTACAGCCGGAACCCCGGGCGCTCAAAGAAGGGCAGCACTTTGGAGAGGGCCCTCAGCTCGATCAGGTAGAGAAAATAGAGGTTCTTGAGCCTTCTGGGACCTTCCCCTCTGGTGAGAACTTCATCAAACCTCTGCTGGAACTCGGTGACGTTGGGGCCCCATCTCTTCTCTGACCACGTATCTGAGGGAGAAAAGGAAACCCCAAAGACATGAGGTGGGTGGGTTTAGTTCTGGTTCAACTCCTCCCACGTGCACAAGCTCAATGGTGAAACGTGATTCCAGCCAGGGAGATCCAAGTTTTCCTGAGTCACAACCCTTTCACTGACCCAAATTCATTCATAAATGGTACAAAGCTTAATCATTCATTTAGGTGACCTCTGAGATTATTGAGTCCAAATTTTGACCAAACACCACCTTGTCACCCAGACCAGAGCACTGAGTGTCACATCCAGTCTTTCCCTGAACACCTCAAGGGATGGTGACTCCACCACTTCCCTGGGCAGCCCATTCCAATGCCTGACAACCCTTTCCATGAAGAAATTCTTCCTGAACATTTTTCAGGAGAGGCATAACTTCAACCCGGTTCAAACCCCAACAAACACAGAGCTCC